TTGGTTACGCGATATGTCCATCGGTTATCGTCAAGACGAGCTACGTGTCCAGCCCATCTCTTTTTCGAGTCATAAATGGTTTCGATAACATCCTTTACGCCCGTCCGTCTTCGGATTTCGCGAGCAGGGATCTTGTGCATTAGTGTTACTCGACACATTGCTCGCTCCATTGCCCTTTGCGTAGCAGCTAGTCTTCTCTCCTCATCTTTGATTGTGCTCCATGTCTCACTTCCATATACCAGTGCTGGTAGAACATGGGTGTTGAACACCTGAGATCTTATTTGAGTTTCAATCCGTCTATCGGTGAGAACATCTCGGTATTTGTTAAATGTGGCCCATCCCGCCTTTCGACGCCGGCTGATTTCTCTTGTAAGATCATTATCCATCGTTATTGCTTGGCCAAGATAGGTACGATGAGACTTCTTCAATGACTGATCCTTTCATGCATAAACGATAGTCATTGGTGTAGTTGTTTTTCATCCATTTGGTTTTTCCTGGATGTATTACAAGTCCAATGGATCGGGAGGCTTCGCTCAAAATATTCAGGGAGCTTTCGAGTGCACTCGGTTCGCTTCCAATCAAGACTATGTCGTCTGCAAACATCAAGTATTGAAGTCTTTCGCCGTCTATCTCAATGCCACAAGGCAGCTCGATTTGCCGCATTACAAGTTCTAAAGCTGCAGAGAATAGTTTTGGAGAGATGACCTCGCCTTGCCGTACGCCACGTTGGATCTTTACACGAACTGGTTCTTTGAGCAATTTTATGTCAGTGTAGCAGCTCGTGTTACATTGTCGTATTATTTCAATATATCTTCTTGAAATTCCGAACGTGGCAAGTGCGTTTAGTACCGCTTGGTGTTCGACCGTATCAAATGCCTTTTTGAAGTCAACAAAAAGATAACATAGCGGGATTCGGTATTCTCGACATCTTTCCGCAAGTTGAGAAATCACATGTATCTGATCGATGGTTGAAAAGCCTTCACGAAATCCGGCTTGTTCTCTTCTCGTATTTATATTGAGTGTTCCACTTATGCGGTTGAGGATGATACGTGAGAAGATTTTGAGTATTGTGGACAGGAGCGCTATAGGACGGTAGTTGGCCAGTATATCACGCGGTCCTTTTTTGTGGATCAAAATGGTATTCGAGCCCAGCCATTCCTTTGGTACAATTCCCGACGCCAGCATTTCCGTGAAAATGTCTGCCAAAGGGCGGGCAATGAACTCCTTCAGACATTTCAGGTGTTCTGCCAGAATTCGATCTGGTCCAGGCGCTCTTCCTCCCTTCATCTGTTGAATAGCCTTCAAAACTTCCGTTTCAAGTACTTTCCATTCATCTCTTGCAAGTGTGTCATCATCATTCTCACAAAATATCATGTTAGGTTGCACCAGCACT